TCATCGACCAACACCCCCAAGTCCTTCTCTGCAGGGCTGCTCTGAATCTCTTCTCTGCCCAAAGAGTTGCTCTTTTTATACAGAAGAAAATGAAACCCATAGTAGTTAAGTATTTGATGTGTTGCTTTACTAATAATACAGCTTAAATTTTGTGTTGATGGGAAACTATCTTGGAAGAAGAAGAAATGAAAGTGAAATGTTATATGTGTAAAAGTTTCATGGATTGTAAAGGAGACATAGTAATACTTTAAAAGCTCTTTTAAAAGAATTAAATCGCTGAAAGACAACATTTCTGATAAAATGCACTGCAGCGTTAAGGAATATTTCAATAAATGTGTATACGTGTTATTCCTTAAATGTTTTCCAGGCTTTTCTTTTTCTTTTAGTGAGACTTTTGTCTCCCACAGACCCTGCTAATGTAGGGAAGTTTGGAGACACTTCTCCCCTTTCATCCTGCTGTGTTTTAAATTTGCCAACTGAGGTGTGGCTCATCATATAATCAATGTTGGCATTTGATTTCCACTCTGATAGTTATACAGCTTGCTTTGCTTGACAGGTCCCTCATGGATGGATGTTTGTTTGTTTATTGCAGTTTCACAAGCTACAAATGAGATTGCGTGCTGCCCAAGTCATGCTGGAACAAGTACAAGAAAAGAACCAGTGTTTGAATCGGCAAGTTGCTAGTCTGGTGTCTGCATTTCACTGAGGAAAATGTGAGATCAATATAAGAATAATAGAGATAGTTTGAATGTTTGAGGCTTGGAAGCAGGTTAAATCACTATTTGATTTTTTTTTTCCTCTTTTTTTATATGGTTGAGGTTTTGTATGGTCATGTTTTCTTCTGCGCCCTTCAGGACATAATTCATTGTGTGACTAACATCATAATGCTATTCACTTTAATACATTATGAAAAGATAACCTAGTGTTCTCAGTCATACGTAGTTTTGGAAAGCTTCCAAATGCAACATTGCATTGCTCTACCTAGAATAATCCAGAAGGGAGTTGGGAAACTACTGTAGGTTTGCTCTTGTTTCTTTGAAAAGGAGTTGAAGTCTGGTATAGTTTAATTCTTTAAAGAATGGAGATTACTGAGTAGTTATTTAAAATGAAAGAGGTGCTTGACCTTTTCATAGCTGGAGGAGGGAAAAGGCTTTTACTGTAGCCAGTAAGATACCCTCTGTTCTTCATGACTACTGCTTCAGTAAATTGCGTTCTGGTAGATTTCACACAGCAATAGTAGAATACTTTTTTTCTGGTACAATATAAGCCTGTGCAAACAGTGTGGCTGAATTCAGTAATTGCTTATGGATGCTTAGGGCTTTTATGCCTTTTGACATAAATGAGCTACAAAATGTATGAAACTTGGTTGTGTGGCGTTACGTGGCAGTAATGGTGTCCCCCCTCTTTTTTTTTAGACTGCTTTTGGTCAGATTAGTGCCTGAGTAGGCTGTGTTGTATATGGATTCTTTTATGAATAGAATGGTCAATAATGACGAAATCCCACCAATTTTACACATGCTTCGCTTTTTCGTAGCCTTGTGCTAGAAGAACCACTGTTAAGTGCAAGTGATCAACGCAGTTATTGCTGATCAGTGCTTACACAGGGCCACGGCCTTTTCTGCTCCTTGCCTCCTTCCACCAGTGAGCAGGCTATGGGTGCACAAGAAGTTGGGAGGGGACACACATAGAACATCAGATCCCAGCTGACAAAATGGATATCTCGCACCGCATGGCATCATTCTCAGCATATTGTAAAGCTCGGGGAAGAAGGTAGAGGGGCACATTTGGACTGATGGCATTTGTCTTCTGAAGTAACTGTTACACGTGATGGAGCCCTGCTTTCCTGGAGATGCTGAGCACCTGTCTGCTGGTGGGAAGCAGCGAATTAATTCCTTGTTTTGCTTTGCTGGCATGCACAGCTTTTACTTTACCTATTAAACTGTCTTTATTTCAACCCAGGAGTTATCTCACTTTTACCCCTCCAATTTTCTCCCCCATCCCACTGGGAGGAGGGAGTGAGCGGCTGGGTAGTGGTTAGGTGCTAGCTGGGGTTGTGTCAGCTGGGAAAAGAATTACAGCTTCGAGGCTAGGTTTATGAAATGCAGAGAGGAGGAAGAGGAAGCAGTGCTGTTCCCTCTCTTACCCAAGAGCTGTGCGATTGCAGCATTCACCTAGCATGTAGCATGTGTGGATGAAACTCTGTTCATCTTGGTGAGGTGGATTTGAACCCTATCTCCCACCCCTGAGACAGTTTTCTAACTGCCAAGCTACTATTAGGCATGTCAGTATGAGCTGTTCTATGCTTTTTGCTTCAAATGTAGGAGCCCTGATTCTTGCAGAGGATATGTAATAACAGGCTGTGGAATCTGTCTTGTTAAGTCTCTGGAGACAGAGTACTCTATAGGCAGTTAGTGTCAAGTGCTTTAATATTGAGTTTTCTGTGTACAGTGGAAGAGCCGAAGGCTGTTCTTCATCTGTTCAGCAACCTAGACTCTTGATACTCCTGCAGCCTGTTTGGCTTCTGTCAAACATCCATGTAGACTCCAAAACAAATGCCTGTATTTTCAGTATCTTTTTTGAAGAGCAGCTCTTGTGTGTTGCAATGGAAGACAGAGGTGTCAGTGGGAAATCTGAGTGTATGTGGTCAAGTGTAGCCCTTGGTTATGGACTGTCTCTCTTCCAAAGCTGAGCTCCATAGTGGGAGCTGCTCCTCCTTCTCTAACCTCCACGCCTTCTTATCTAAGGCACAGGTTAATGTGTAACTCCTGAAATGTGTGTATACCAAGCATTGGGAACTGAAAGGGAGTCAGCTTTGGTCAAAATACGTAAGTGCCTATATTAAAGGGCCAGGGCTGGCTTCATCTCCCCTAAATTTTCTTTCCAGAAAGTTCTTAGGCGGATATCTGTCCTCCTACTGTAATCAGTGCAGTAGATTTAGCTCTCCTAATTTAAAATTCCTGGAGTTTTCTCTCCAGTGCTAATGAGTACTTTCATTAGCCATTGGAAGGGTAGGTATCACAAGCCATTTCACAGGTACCTGTTGTAAACGTAAGAGGAATTGTTTTCTGGAGGGGCTTTCCCTTTGGCTGTACAGAGTGCTTAAATGACCAGAGGGTTCAAGTTAAGTCAGATGGTTGTCTCCAGTCTCCCCAGTCCAGTGAGGATAGCTTCTAGAGAAAGTAGCTAAGGATACTGTCCTCCTAATTTAGGTGTGTATGTGAGATGCTTAAAGTTAGGCCCTGCAAAACCAGCCTTTTGTTTAAAAGTGGGTTAAAACACTTTAATGAGTATAATTTAAAGGATACCTTTTATCTTGGTCTGGACAAGATCAAAGGCATCCTGAAATTACATTAGTATTTGTGGAAAAAATGAAGTGTTTTTATCTCTTTTGAAGCAATAATGCAACTGAAAACCAGTTTTTGAGGATTTTTGACTAAAGTTTTCTCCCTTTGTTACCAGTAAAATAATACTTAGGGTATCGAATCTCTCATGAATTTTGCTATGCTGCACGTACTGGATTTTTGTAGAGTAAGGTATAAACAAAGAGGTCGATCTTTATATATTCTTATTTTAAATGAAGATATATCTGGCAACCCAAAAAGAATGTAGTCATGTGAATGGTAAAAGGACTGTAATGATTTTCTCAAGCTTGGTACAAGCTAATTGTATCTATTCATTAAACAATAAGGCAATCCACCCTTATTAAAAATATCTTGAGTACTCCCAGCACCTAAAAATGTTTTTGGCTTTTTTTTTAAAGACATTTTCAATATAAATATGATGTTTGCAAAATCAGGATTTTGCCTGTATCTGTTTACAAGCATAGTCCTATAAGAGTGTCAGCTGTTGTGTTTCCAGGTTGCTCTCACAGTTCGTTAGAAGTTGAAACCTGGATGCCCATCAAGGCTGTCGCTATGCTTGTTGCGTAGCTAGGAAATGAGACCTCTGATACCGTGCTTGGCTTTCTGTTAATAAAATACTTAAATGTTCCAACTAGAGTAGACCAGAGTGCAGAAGAACTCTCTGAGCTCCCTCTGTCCTGAGGATGTTGTTGAGGTGTGCACACCTGCTTCCCGAGTTTGTACTAGGAATTGCAAGAAGTAAAAGGCAGATATCTGGGCTGCTCTGCCTGGATGGTGTCCTGTCATTTGGAGAAGAGACGCTGCAAATCCCTGCTCCTGGTGGGGGGTGGGTCCAGAAGCAAGGTGAGGAGGCAGATACCGAGAAATTCATCTCAGCCCTTACCTGGACCCTGTGGGAACCGATGAATTTTGGGTTAGGCAAGTGAGGAGTATCTCCCTGGCATTTTAACACTGCAAAACAAAGAGATTGCAAAAAGGATGTATTTGTGTGCATGGAGAAGGGCCTCAGGGTCACTGACTCAGGCAGTGCTTCTCTAAGGCAAAATAAATGAGACTTATAGGAAGCTTGATAAACTGCATTGATTGACAAGTTTTCTGGTGATTAGAGGAGTTTTAGCTAAATGGTATTGTGAAGAGTAAGGTCATAAAAAAAGATGGTGAGATTTGCCCAAGTACTCTCAAAAGTTAACTTTGACTCTTCTGGCAACATCTTTAAGGTGATTCAGTGGATAAACTAACCTGTGGTTCACATTATCTTAAAATCATGTTTTTAACTCTTAAAAGTAATAGATATTACTAAATTATTCTAAAATATGTTTGAGTTTGCTTTGATATATAATTGAGTCGGGAAAATAATTTCATGAAAAAGTATTTAGAGCAGAATTGTCCAAACAATCTAGTAATGATTTAAAAATCAAAGGGAAGTACTTTTTAAGCCAACATATCTCAAGAATAATCTAACTTTTGATACAATAAAGACTTTTCTCTTAGGTAAAGGTCTGTGCTAGGTTGAGACGCTGTATGGTGCATGGAAAATAACCTGTGTTGGCATAGGTGTTACCAGGCTCTGATGTCACAGTGAATGTGATGTCATGGAATGATAAATCACTTGGGTCAGTTTTCTGCTAAAAACACGGTATAGGTATGACCGAAGGTCACTTACTTCATGCACCTATCAGCTTTCCAGAACAGATTTCTCCCTTCCTGTTGATGGTGCCTCTGGAGGAGTTGATATGGTAAAAAGCAAATTTTATACAGCCCTGACAAAATCGTACATAAGGCTTTCTAAAGCAGTATGTAGTTTGTATTGGTTAATTTAAGTATTGATGTAATCACTTGTGTGTTTGTGGCTGGGAAAAGATTTTATTTATATATTTATTTATTTATTTTTTAGCTGAATTTTGTCTTCTCAGGGAAGGACCGTGAAATCTCAGTAAAAACTCCTGAAAAGATACTGATTTGCTGAACTCCAGCAAACATATAAGCAGTTTTTCTCAGGGTATCCTGTTACTCAAATGAGCCAGAACAGGACTGGCCATTTCATGAGTAAAATTAGGTTTTAAGATTTCAATCATATTTTAGTTTTGGAGCTTTGTTTCTATTGTAGCTGAGCTAGTTTGCCTTTACTAAATACTAAGTTAATGTAGCTGCTGCTAAAATTTCTCTGGGTGTATTTGAGACATTTTAAGGTTTATTTGCACTTAAATTTTTATTTTGGAGTCTGAAGTCAGCCTTTACAACTGTCATAAACTTACTTTTGGGATCTGAATACTTGGTAGATTTTCATTGCACGCTCTTAATGGGTTTGGGGTGTGTATGCGACACACGCTTCTTTGTATTTGCTAGCTAAGGCCAAACCTGGGGTGGGGAAACAGAAATGTTTCATGCAATGACAGCTTCATGTAGGTAAGGAGCTGATGCTTGATATAAGCCTTCACTAACTGTTCTGTGACTTGTCTGTGTATGCTTTCCTTCTGCCCTTTTGTGGCATATGTTTCTGGTGATCTGTGTCCTCTTATAAAAAGAATGTGTGTGCTCCATATGGCAGTGGATTTGCTCTAATGAGAGCAAAGGTGCTGGCAGCCTCTGAGAGGTTTCTGCCGGAGGCACATTCAGCCCCCAAGTTTGTATTGCAGAAGAACAGACTTGCGCTGGGCTATGGGTGCAGGAGCAAAGCTTGGTTCATGGCAGCATTAGGGCTCACAGTGGTAGGTGGCAAAAGCAGTGGCACCATTGAAGCTCTTCTTCAGGGGTTCCTAAGGCTTTCCCAAGCAAGGGAGAGACCTGAATGGCTGAACAAACCCTTTTTTGCTTTGAGGACAATCCTGGAGACATTGGTTAGACAAGCTCCTCCTAGCCAGTTAAGTCAACATGGGGCTGGTTTGCGAGCAGTGGGACTTGGTGAAATGCATAGACAAGCCAGCTGGCAGGAATGAGAGTGCAGTTACTCCTAATGTTTTTGTGATGATATCCTGGATGCAATTAAGTTATTAAGAGGTGATTTGCAAATGTTTTGTTCAATGTAGCATACTGTAACTTAGCTGTCACCACTTTGCACTCCTTAGCTTGGCAAGGTAAGCTTCTACCCCAGCTTATCTGACTCTTTGTGAATACAAAACTGCCACCAAAAATTAATACTAGTATGCCACAAGTACATCAGCTTCTTAATTATTGTTATAAGCAATACCTGCCCCATCAAATGCTCTTGCAAGGATGTCACTGCTTGCTATCTTCCAAGGCTGTGGTATTATATTTTCATAATGACAAAGCAGAAGCAAGTCTCAGGTGCAGGTGCTGTCCTGTATCTTAACAGGACTGCATTCTGTATCTGCCACACCAAATAAAGACTAGTCTTAAATGATGATCTAGGAGCTAGACACACACAGCGGTAAGGAAACCTGCAACATTAAACTATAAGTAGCTGGCAGAATGAGTGAAATGCAGGGCACACATCCTGTGTGTCACAAGATGATAAATGCAGTCATCTTTAGGGCTAAACAAGAGCACCTGTGTCATGGAAATGCAATAACTGCATTTTGCTGTGGATTTTTTTTCCAGCAGCAAAATATGTTAAAACATCCCAGGAATTTAGCCTGATTTCTAACTGAGACAAAGTACAAATATCATAACAAACGCATACTGGTTACTAAAATTTTTATTTTGCTCTTATTGTCTTCTAAATTGCGGTTAGAAACTGAATTCTTCAGCTGCAACTGCAGTGAGTGGTATGAAATACTGCAGTGTGCTAAGCGATGCAGGATGGACCTCACACTATTATTTGAATCTCAGTGAAAGACAATGCATCCATCTTATGTGTACATATAAATCCTGCTGATGAGAAGTTAAATATTCTAGGAGCCTAACTTTACCCTGTAAAAATTCAACAACCCAGCCTCTCTTTGTGGCTCGTATGCTCTACTGGCAGACACAAATGATCGGATTGAAAATTGGAGCCTCCCTGAATTAACAAAAAAACCTTTCATGGAGAAATTAGGCTACAGACCCAGGGGTACCTTTTCTTTTTCATCTGTCCCATACAGAGGTTGTAGGTGTAGCTTTGACTTCCTTCATCTGCTGCTCAGCTGAGCTAATTTGTTGCAGGTCAAGTCCAATAAGTCTCCCTGTTTCTCTGCTCTTCTCCCTACTGACAAGAGTGATGGGGGGGTAGCTTGGTTGCACGCTGCCTCTTGATCGGGGCTTACAGTAAAATTCCAGTCTAGCCCTTTAGGAAGTGAAGTAACACTTTATCTCTTCTGGAGGTGGATGGGAAAAAGAGCAAAGACAAATCACTTTGCTACTGCGAAGCCACAAGCAAAGCAATAGGGATGATGCAGGGTTTTTTTCATTTGTCTTTTTGAGCAATAGTATCAATGAAACAAGAAGCCAGTAGCTTCCCCCATGATGCTCTCTGCCCTCTGCCCTCCCTCTCTCCCTCCTTGCAGCATGATTTCACTTGCATTTCCAGTACTTCTACTTTGAGTGATGTCTTGATAATCTGTTCAGTGCTGGAGTGCTTAATTTTCAGACGGAAGACTGCTCCATAGATGGTGTTCTTGTCTGGCTCTGCCAATGACCAGAATATGTGACAGCTATCGTTGCAGCTGTGATTGGGGTGGTATTTATTGAGGTTTGGCTGGGGTTTTTTAGCGGCCCAGTGTCACTGTGATCTATACTTCTGCTTGACCAAGGGGTCTGGATTTTAAAATAGTCTTATCAGAGGCATCTCAGTTAACCAAATACATTTAATTGACTCTAATTATCTAGGTCCGTGGTGCCAAATTTGCCATAGATGTTGCTATTGGGTAACTGGAGCACTGAGAGAGCACTGTATGCAGGCTCGCAGTGCTTTCTGCTCATTCTGCATGTTGGAAGGTAGATTTTAGGAGAGGTAAAACCTAGGATTCTGTCAAGAAAGTTTTGTTCATAGCATGTTATTTTCATGTTGCTAACATCATTTCCACTTCCAGAACTGAATTGTTAAAGATGGAGTGTTCAATTTACTGAAAAAAACTTCTAATTGTCTGATGAATTGGAAGTTTGTGCATGCATGTGTGTGCACATACATGTGTGTGTGTATGGAAGAGCATTTTCCAGCTAACTGTAATGGATGCAGTGCTTGCCTGTTTTGCTGTGTGGAATTCTTTAGTGACACTGGTAGTCTCCCTCTTCTGTAAAGAAATATGTAGCCCTAAGGAGGATGCATGAAGACATACAGGCTTAAGCTTCTAGGATACTGGTCAAAATGCTGCTTCTGACTTTCAGGGTAAGCCGATTCTTGCAGTCTGACTTTGTGTCATCCAGTGGCACTGCTTATTGCAGAAAGATGACTTAACGTAAGAGAGAGAAGATCAGCATTAATTGGAAAGTAATATTTGAGGTCCTGGTTTATTTTTCTCATACAATTTCTGAATTCAGTGGCTGCCAAGCACTTTAAAATGGCTTTCATTCATTCATGAAGAAGTACCTTCCACTCTGAAGCACTGACCAAGTAGGATCTCAGGAACTACAAATAAGAGGCTTCTGCTTGGAAGAAAAGTATGCACCTGGAGTTGGAATAAGTGTGGCTACTACAGTCCATTCCCTAGGGCTTGGCTTTGTTATCTACAGAGTGCTTTATCCCCTCTGGAACATGCTGTCCTCGCCTTTATTCATGCTGAGGAAGAGGAAGGTGTCTCTGTGTGAACTAGATTTGTTACTGCATATCTTGCATGATAATTACAGAATTAAGCTCTCTAGCATGCATATACTCAAAGAAGTTATTCTGTCTTTGGGGTGAATAATTGCTCACTTTAAATGCTATATATGCACTTGTGTCTGCGTATACATACAGGGGTAGGGAGGCAGAATGGGCAGGCAAAATATGTAATTATTCAACGGAAGCCTTAGTCTTGCATTATAAATATGGATCATGACTTAAGGAGCCTGAGGACATAATACATTCATCTTCTGCTTGAATATTTAGTTTTAATCGTAGAGTTGCCTGAAAGTCCTTACGAAAGATGAGCACTGACATTTAAAGTACTTGTGACGTATGGATTGTCTATATGCAGATACAGCAGGCTCTTGCAGCAAAAAGGTTGAGGACAAGAGGATGCTGAATTGGAACAAAGCCAGACAGTCTCCAAAGAGTAAAACTTATTTTCATGCATTAGCAAATGCCTATAGGTAAGGCAAGGATATGTTTAGCATAAATGTCAAATCATTCAGTTGAAAGGATAGAATCTCTTGAGGCATCAGTGTGGGCACTGGGAGTGGGCTGGTGAAACTGTGGGTTGTGTTCGTAGCCCTGGTACTAGGTTTTGGTGGACTGCTTAATTCTCTTCCTGCCCAGCTCCTCTTCTGGTTGTATCTGTTCAGCCTAGTGAGTTTTCCCAAAGAGCATGCAGTTGTGTAACTGCAGAACGGAGTCGTAAAGCAGCTGTGCCCAGTCCGCTGCCTTTATCTTGGCAGAGAAATACATGGAGTTCAGCAGCCATGCACCTTACGTTACACGTGGTCATTGTATTCTCAGGTCTGTTAGCCACAGCCATGAAATATGTGCATGAGGTATGTGTAAAGAACAGCTGTTCAAAATGGCATCCTGTCCCCATTGCTGGAGAGGCAGAACCGCCACAACACAACATATGATTATACCAGAGTCCAAGTGAGGACTTGATTATGTTATTAGCCTTTAGGCTGTCCTATAATTAAAGATGAATGCTGGTTAAAATTAATCAACTCTATTTTGCAGGCTACG